CCCCCATAAAAAAAAAAAACCCCCCCCCCCCCACCCATCGGAATATAACAGTGTGGATATAGACAAGATGGCCGTGACAGATTGTTAATTAATGTTTGTAGTTAATTGCCGATTTGACGCCATACCTGAAGTCCGAACCTTCCTCGTTGCCCATAATTTCCATCTTAGAGTTAAACCTTATCCGGATAGCCACGTAGACCATCCTGGTTTCTCACTCTGCAAGTTTCTGCCACTTGCTTGCATTGAAGATAAGCGGATAGCACATGCATTAATCCCGTGTGTTAGTAACGGACACTACTGTGAATCAAAGTCAAATCGTTGAATTAGAGTGGAGGTTAATTAATGTCTTCACAGGAGCTGAATTGTCTTCCCCTTATCTTACAGGCCTCTCCTTCGATGCCACCAGCTCGTCAATGCACGAACTGTAAATGATCAATTAGAGACAGCGCTTGCTGATTAACGTTTGACAAGTTCTTCCACGTGGTTGTTTTCTTATTATTTTTCTTAAACCGTGTGATATTTCACGTGCAGCTTAGAGTTAAATAATCAAGAAAAGGTAGATGAAGAATAGTATGAATCTCTGCATTTTTTACCTAACAACAGAGGATAACAAAGCGGAGCTAGCCACTTGCGCAGCCTTGACCAAGAAACATGTGATATAATGCAGACATTATAATATAACTTTTATAAAGTAGTGATACTGGTAGAATATATTGCTTCATCCATGTGCATCCATGCGTCGGCTCTTTTGCGAAGAGAAAAGCTTACAGCCGATTCCGGAAGTCAATAATTTTGTCTCGATTGCGTACCATTTTTACCACGGGTACGTAGGGCAAGATTAATAAAATCCCAAATCATGTGAATTTGCTGCTCATTTCCCCCTTTTTTCCTCAGCATTCCATAGGAAAAACCCCACTTACCCTCTTTTTAAACCATCCACTTAGCTATCATAGAGGGGTAAGATGGTTTTTTAAATGGAACACACTGTCATAACAGTCTTTTCCCTTTTTTTTACATTTCTTAGGAGCAACATGATGACTAGAATAACACTGGGAGCAGAAAATATTTTTTTTAGTTTATGTTTAAATTAATATCTCTTCTTTATAATTTTTATTTTTTTTATTTAGCATAATTTTTAATATTTTTTTAAATTATTTTGTATGTATTTAGTTTTTAAAGATATTGTTATGATTCATCTATAATCTTTTTTATGTTATATATATATATATATAGATGAAATTTATTTTAAAAAATAAAAAATATTTAATTTTAAATGATATTTGTAATGTGTACAATATTACATAATATTTTATTTTATTCAATTAATTTTATATTTATGTGTGTTTTTATTTTTATTATTGTTTGATTGAATATTAATTTTAATAATCATGTTCACTAAACCAAGTAAAAATTTCATATTCAAAGATTAAATATTTTAATTTATATTTGGTTTTTAATTTGGTTTTTTACATAAATATTTATTTATTTATATGTTTACATAAGATTGTGATTTACAAGTAAAGTATTTTTCATATAAGAAAACATGTAGCAAAAAAATTTATATATTTATTTTTGTAATTATAAAAAAAAGTATGTATGCGATGAAATGTGTGTCGAATAGCTAGTTTTAGTTCGAGCTAGATGGTGTGGCCACCGTTGCTGGAATAGAGAAGAAAAAGAAAAGATTTGGCAGACACTAATTAATCGGCTGTGATAATGTTGAAACCTGGGAAGCATCGACAGGAACACCAGCTATGGACACGACCCGATACTAGCACCTCGGCATGGCGTTAGCTAGTGCCTTGTTAGATTATAAAGTAGTTCTGCTTGATAAGTGTGGTTTTAATTAAATAGTAGATTACATATTACCAAAAAAATTCAACATTGCATTAATTACAGAACACCATGAGTGCTGAAGGCAGATCAGAGAAACAAGAAGGTATAAGCATTGATCACTGTACCGAAACCCTTGACCATGGTGCTAGTAAACATTACTGAAACAAGAACAACGAGATAGCAGTGGCGTAAAACGTAAAGCCTAACAGGGACCAGCAGGGCATGACGAACAGTTGCAGAGGGACCAGCCATGCTGGGTGCTTGGAAAACAAAACGTTAGTGATGTCTACTAAGGTCTAGGATGAAGAGGGAAGATTCCTTCTCGTGAATTGTGACTTTCAATGCTTGATCTTTTCCGGTGCTGCTAATTAACAAAACAAAAATATGATTGATTTGTGTCGGTGCAAAGGACACGGAGTTTCATTTCATGTCTGATGATATATATCATTCAAATACCAGTGTTCGTTCGTGCTATGAATGCATTTTTCTGGCACTTTCTCTGGACCACCTCCACTGAATCGAGAGCAGTGATCATCACACCATTCTTAATGGATTTGGTTAAAAATTGAAATTGGAATTGTTGCTTTTGAAACTGGAAAAGCTTCAAACTCCCTTCCTTTTCTGACTGGTTCTAGCGAGTACGTACCTTTTTAACTTTTTACACATGCTCCTGTTGGTGCATTTCAAGATTTGAATAAAAAACAACCACAAGCTTTAATCAATGCCATCGTTTCTTGCTATTTTGTACAGAGGTATATACTATATATCATATATATCGTATAGAGCTTGCTGATGATGTGGGGTTGGCATGAGATGTAGACGTTTCAAATCATGAAGTATCGTTGAAGATGATTTTATGTGAGTGCTGGGTGGATTCTATATTTAAAGTCTCAAAAAGTCTCTCAAGTGTTGAGCTTCTATCAAATATAAGAATTATGCCTTTCATAAATGCATCTTGGACTGTAAATTACCATCTTTGTTCAGGGGATAAATCATAAAACCCTAGAGGAATTCTTCCTTTGGTGTCAGTTTCTTTCAATGTCTGGCAATTGAC